TCTTCTTCTTCTTCTCTCTCTTCTCTCTCTCCCTCTCTCCTGTCTCTCTCATCTCTTTCTTTGTTCTCTCTTCTGTCCCTCTCTCTCCTCTCTCTGCTTTCTGTGTCTCTCTCTCCCCTGTCCCTCTCACTTCTGTTTCTCTCTCCTCTCTCCCTCTCTTCCCCCCTCCTCTCTCCCTCCTCTCTTTCTGTGTCTCTCAGTCTCTCCCTCCCTCCTCCTCAGTCCTTTCTCCTTAAAAATCTGAGTTTCCTCTTCCATTCTTAACTTAAAAATGGAAAGTTAAGTAGGATCTCAGCATGACTGTCATGATACAGAATTCAGCGTGAAAACTTACCTGGCTAGTTTTCAGCTGACACCATGCCCAGACCACTCACTTTTAGAGAAGGAAACATATTGTCGTTACCATCACTCCTTGCACAGGACTTGGAAAGAAGTCTAAGTCTGCCCCTGCTTCCATCTTCCCTCATTATTGCTTATGAATAGGGTGACCAATGGCCTCGTTTTCCAGGGACTATCCTAGGGACTGCTCTAGTTTTAGCATGGAAAGCCCCCTGTCCTGGACACATCTCAGTATGTGGCAAATTGGGGCAATTGATTGCCCCAATAATGAAGGACCTTCCCACAAATTTTTACTGGAGGAAAGTGACTTGGTTGATCATGGTCTGTGCCAGATGAGGATATTTCCGGCTTTGTTTAGGTCTTACCTGAGCAAATGAGCAAAATGCAGATAGTTCCACAACTGGCTGAACCAATTACAAGCAAATAAACACACAAGAGGGAGGGAATATTCTTTCTTTCTTTCTTTCTTTTTTTTAGTTGGAATCTCACTCTGTCTCCCAGACTGGAGTGCAGTGGCCGCTGCCAGCCACCACAGCCTCGACTTGCTGGGCTCCGGAGATCCTTCTGCCTCAGTCTTCCAAGTAGCCGGAACTACAGGCACGTGCTACCATGCCTGGCTAATTTTTGATTTATTGAAGAGATGAGGTCTCGCCAAGTTGCCCAGGTGGGTCTCGAACTCGCGGGCTCAAGCAATCCACTCACCTCAGCCTCCCAAAAAAGGCGCGGGATTACAGGCTGAGCCACTGAGTCCGGCTGGCAATATTCTTTCACATGTAAATCATCTATGCTGGCCTTGCACCCAGGAAAGAATAACTGGATGAGGAAATTTTAGGAGGGACTGGGAATTTTGAGAAAAAACAAACTTTAAATTCAAGGTGTTTTGCTTTAATTTGGGCCTAGAACAAGATGGATTTTTAGACCTGTTTTTGGAATCCCAGAAGATGAGCAGGCAATGAGTCAAGTAGCTAGGGGGGGAAACATTAGTTTAAAATACTCCATCAAGAGGAGTGCATGATTAGCGTTATGTCTTATATTCCTTCACTTTCTGTCCCCTTCTAACTTGAAACCAATTGCCACCAGTTTTTGATAGACTTTCCCTTTCCGGAGTCTATTGTCATATAGCAATGCAGTATTAATTGCTAAAGATATACGATATCTTTAAAGTTGAAAATGGAGACCAGTTTCAATCAGCAGTAAATTAAATATATATATATATATATATCTTGGGAAAAAAACATTAACAAGCTGTTAATATAAATTTCCCGAAAACTTCAGCTTGTTTCAGTTCTGCTGCGGGAACTCTAGGAGATTAACGCACTTGTGGTTGGACCAGAATGTGAAATGGGAAGTGGCAGCACATCCCTGGAGACCTGATGGCTCAAAAGGCATCAGAATGTCAGGACCTCAAGAAGAGATGAGGCCATGGAGGACAGAGTTAAGGTGTGTTTTGTACAGTCCTCTCCTTCCCGGGAACTTTCTTCTAGTGCTCAATGGTTTGTAAACAGTGGGAAGTTTGTGTTTCCTTCTAATAAAAATGAAAGCTATCTTCTGTCTACTGGGTCCCTTGCCCCTCAGTGCCTTTCTCATCCCATTAGGGAAGAAGTGGCAGATTGTGCATGGTGATGGCCAGTTGTCAAAGAGTTAGAAGGCATGTCAGTCATTCTCCACTCAATCTTTGACATTTGTAACGAGGATATCTTCAGAATGGCTACCTGTCCTTGTTTACTGAAGCTTTCATCCATCCAATTTCCCAGCTTAGCTGCTGTAATAATGGTGGTCCAAGATACCATTTTATTTTGCTTCCATCAGAGTGCTCTCCTAAGGACTCCCCTGCTATCATTGGTGCTGACTGAAAATACATGGTCTCACAGCAGCTGGGATGGCCTTTGAAAAACATAAAGCATCCCAGTTCATCCTCCACCCCTCCTCTGGGCTTAAGCTTCTCTAGTGAATGCTCATCACACTCAGTATGAATGCCTGAATTCTTCACCTTGATTTACAAAGCATCACATACCCTGACCCCTGCCTGTGTCTTTACATCCCTTTTACAGAGTTCAGACCACACTGCTTTTCTTTCTTGAATGTGCTAAGCTAATGCCTGTGCAGCCTCGCAGTGGCTGGGAATTTCCTCTCTTGGCTTTTGAAATGGCTAGGTTCTTTTTGTTAGTCACCTGGTAAGTACTTCTCTATCACATCACAATGTTTTAAATCTCTAATACTATAAGAAAGGGATTGGCAGTAGTGGGACACGGCCAGGGAGGGGCCCATAACATCAACAAGGGTACCCAAACTTTGCCTGTATGATGACCACTTATATACTTAACACTGAATTGTACCACATATTAAAAAAAAAAAAAAAAAAATCTCTGCCAGACTACCTTTCCAGTATGGAGAATTTCTTTGTTATGTGTTTGCTTCTTGTTGTCTGTTTTCATTTCTCAACCAGGCTAAGTTTCAGGAAAGCCGGCTTGTCCTCTGACTCTGTGCGTTGAACACAACTCTTGGACAGTGCCTTGCACAGTGGACACTCCATGAATCTTTGTTGGGGTGACCGGTTGCTATCCTCAAAGAGCTGACAGCTGATAGATCTGGGAGTATACCAAAGACCATGTAAATGACACCTTAACTATACATGATGACAAACACACGAGATTCTCTGTGTAAGTGCAAGATCAACTTTTTAATAATAAAGCGTCGGTTTTAGGGTGCTAAGAAGACACTGTCGTTGTTGGTGCCGCCCAGTGAGCCTGCGAGTTCTGGCGGAAGTCACAGGTGGGGGGTGGGGGGAAGTCACAGGTGGGGGGTGGGGGTGGAGGGAGCCCAGTAGCAGAGAATTGGCACGAAAACGTCTTGCTCCTGCACACGTTTGGCAAGAGCAGCCTAGTTGGCTCAACAACTGTAGCTTGGGGTGAACGACAGTGGGATGAAATATTTGGGGGCATACCTTCCCACCCCTAGGAGGCCGTTCCTTCTCCACTCCTCCCTCCCTTCTTTTCTTGACTTGGTAATAAAGCTACAAAGTAGGTTTCTTCAAAAAAAAAAAAAAAAAAAAGGAAGTTCCTCCGAAGTGTGCCTGTCTGCAGTGTTTGCAGTGGGGGTGGGGTGGAGGTGGAGTGGGCGGAGGGAGAGGCCGCCGCCTCCCAGATCTCCCGTCTTGGGTCTCCGAGTAGGGCAAGGGGCCGTCCTGGCGCGACTTAGGACAGGCCTGCAGCGTGGACGGCGCGCTTCGTCTCCAGGAGACGCTCGCTGTCCTGCCTCCCTGAGCCCTTTCCGAGGAGGGCAGGCGTGGCTCACCTCCGGCCTGTGAGCGTGTGGACCCGGCTCCAGCGGCTCCGCCCGCGTCCTCGGGGCCCACGATCTTTAGACGGCCGGCCCCGCAGGGCGCTTCTCCGAGCCGAAAGCCCGGGGCCCGCCCCGCCTCCTCCCTGAGGGGAGGCCCGTGGGCCTCGCGCCAGAACCGAGGCGAGGAAGAAAGTTTGGAGCGCCGGGAGCTGGGCCGCGGAGGACCGGCCGGGATTCGGGCTCCGAGCGTCCCGGGGCGCCGTGGCCCCAGCGC